TATGACCTACATGAAAAGGCAACAACTGTCTTAAATACAATATTTGATAAATGAAATCAGGATCTCTCAAATACCGGTAGAATATTTGATAAGTCTTCTCAAGATGTAAGTTCAATCGGGGAACTCTAAACATGTCCGATAGACCAGAGACTTTTTACAGACTAAATTTGAGCCGCGTCACGACAAAACCAACATACTGGGTTTGAGACCAGCATGGATCCAGACCAGCCTTCGCATCGGCGCAGTCTGATCAGGATCCATGCTGTTCGCTTACCAACTCTATTACAAGTTGAGAAACTGCATGATAGCGAACAGCATGGATCCTGATCAGACTGCGCAGATGCGCAAGCTGGTCTGGATCGATCCATGCTGGTTGCAAACCCATTATGTTGGTTTTGTCGTGACGCGGCTCAAATATAGCTCTGTGGATTGACCTGATATCACATTGTAAGTGACCAATATCCTCAGGAGATCCGTGAGAGGCGCCAAAAACTTATCCCTTATCTTGTTAAGGCGAGAAAAGAAAATAAAACAGCAGTGCTTTCATATGATACACTGTATATCGATAATCGATCTTACACAGTGGACCGTCTCCCGCCAGGTCCTGTCCCAATTCTCGAGCGTCGCACTCGGAGGAAACAATCTTACATTTCAGGTCGGGACCAGAACCAACATATGGTCACAGATAGTGTGCAGGCGTAGGAAAACGTAAGGAGGCAGCTAAAATTTCTCTCGTGGAATATCCAGGGAATTAAAAATAAATTAACTGATAATGACTTTTTGGACTTTCTGAACGGCTTTGATATTTTGATTTTGACAGAGACATGGAATTCAAATGTGTTAAATATTGACTTAAATAATTTTGAATATTTTTCATGTCCTCGGCCGAAATATAATAAGAAAGCTAACAGGTACAGTGGTGGGGTAATTGTGTACTTTAGAAGTGAATTTAAAGGTCAAATTGAGTTAGTTTCATTAAATAACAAAGGTATAATATGGTTTAAATTACAAAAATCAATGTTTGCATGTTCAAATGATATGTTTTTTTGTTGTTGTTATATACCTCCTGAAGATTCAAAGGTATATAAACAATGTGAATCACCTTTATACGAATTTGACTTTTTTGAACAAATATCTGATGATATCAGAAAGTATAGTCGGCTTGGATATGTGACAATATGTGGTGACCTAAATGCTCGAACTGGTGAAAGACCAGATATGATTGAAAATATACACCTTGAGCGTTTTATTGATTTACCTGAAGAAGACGATATTCCTATAGGAATCCAATCTCGAACTTCCTTTGACAAACAAATAAATAGTTTCGGTAATAAATTAATTACATTGTGCAAAGAAAATGCTGTCTATATTGTTAATGGCCGTCTTGAACCAGGTCATTTTACATGTTATAATCTTATAAGAAACTGCAAAGCTGCAAGTGTTGTAGACTACATTATTGCCGATTCAAATGTTTTTCTCTTATTGATGTTATGAAAGTTCATGACCTTTCAGAATTTTCTGATCACTGTCCAATTTCGTTTTCAGTTTCATATGTTGATAACAAACCTATTGCAAATGAAGATATAACTTATGACAAAATAGTATGGGAAGATATCGATAATGATAAACTTGATTCATTATTGAATGAATATAAATATTCTTTTGATGACATTACAAATAATTTATCGTGTGATAACATTGACATTGATACTTGTATAAACTTGTTTTCTGATTTAGTTTTTGATATATCATTCAAAGTGAATGGTAAAACTATAAAGAAGAGTTCAAAAAGAAAACCTTCCAATTTTAAAACGTCATTATGGTTTGACAATGATTGTAAGCGAAATAAAAATGAATTTTACAGGTGCAAAAGATTATTTAAAGATGATCCGTCAGACCGCAATAGAAATTTGTTTTTGAATGCACGAAGCATTTTTTGTGCAAGTAAGCGCAAAGCTAAAAAGCAATATTTTTATCAGGAAAAGAAAACGCTTTCTAAGTTGAGCAAGACTAATACTAAACAATTTTGGAAATATATTAAAAAGTATAAAACTAAATCGAGTAATGCAAATCATGATGTTAGTTTACATGAATTTGTTGAATACTTTAGTAATATGTCTAATACACAGCATGAAAATGTTTTTAACCCTGAAAATTTTTCTAACAGAACAGATACGGTACAGATTGAGAGTCTTGATTGTAAATTTAGTATTGATGAAATACGTAAGACAATAGCATGTTTAAAAAGGCATAAAAGCTGTGACATTGATAAAAATGTAGCGGATTTTTTCATAGATTCTAAAGATTTTATTGCTCCTTATCTTGTAAAACTTTTTGATAATATATTTGATAAAGGTGAATATCCTGAATCTTGGAGTAAAGGCGTTATCATTCCTATTTTTTAAAAAAGGCGATCGTAAGGTACCTTCAAATTATAGAGGGATTACAATTGTCAATGTTTTAGCAAAAATTTTCTCATTAGCGTTAAGAAACCGCATAAATAAATGGTGTGAAGAGGAAAAAGTTTTTAATGAATCTCAGTTTGGTTTTAGAGATGGGCGGAGTACTGCTGATTGTGTGTTTATATTGCATAGTATTATTCAGAAAATACTTTCAAAAAAATCTAAACTTTACTGTGCGTTCATCGATTATGAACGAGCTTTTGATACGGTTATACATGAAGCATTGTGGGTTAAACTTATAGAATCTGGTATCAGCTGTAAAATGGTTAGAATGTTAAAAGCCATCTATCAAAACGTAAAATCTTGTGTAAAAGACACAGCTTACTTGACCATTTCTGACATGTTTAATGTTTCTATTGGTGTTAAACAAGGGGAACCACTCTCTCCTCTATTATTTATTTTATTTGTTAATGATGTAAAAAATATTGTTGATGTGTCACAATTAACAGAGACTGATTTATCTTTACTATCTGTACATATGTTATTATTTGCTGATGATATAGCTCTATTTACCACAAACCCAAATAGTTTGCAATCCTTTCTTGAAAACATTTATATATACTCGTTGCAGTGGGGCCTTAAGATCAATGCTAGCAAGACTAAAATATGTATTTTTGAGAAAAGAAAAACGCAATGCAATTATAATTGGTATGTCAATGGTGCTAAGCTAGATATCGTTAATTCTTTTTGTTACCTTGGTGTTAAATTTTACTTTACCGGTAACATGAAATTTGCTGTTCAGGCTCTAAACGACCAAGCTCTCAGAGCATATAACAATCTTCTTTCAGTTATAAGTAGACTAAATCTTGATATAAAAACACAATTATCACTGTTTGATTCTCTTGTAGTCCCCATACTTCTATATGGCTCAGAAGTATGGGGAGTATATAATTATAAAGAAATTGATAAACTTCATTTTCGTTTTTGCAAGAGAATTCTTGGTGTTAGAACCCAGACATCAAATGCTGCTGTGCTGGGTGAGCTTGGTCGCTTTCCATTGTCTGTATTATGTAAAGAGCGAGCATTGAAACAATGGTTAAAGATAATGAAATGTCCAGGTTCACTTATGTATAACATTTTTTCAGAATTAAAGTCATCAGAAAATCGAAATTCAAATAATTCCTGGACTTTGTCTGTGAAAAAATTCTTAAATAATTTAGGCTATGGATACTTATGGAATGAAACAAATTTTGATAATAACTATATGTCTGTATTAAAGCAAAGATTACGGGATCAATACGTACAAGAGTGGAGCGAAACAATTGCAAATCAACCAAAACTTAAATTTTACTGTTTGTTCAAGACAGAATTTTCTTTTGAAAAATATTTGACGGTGTTAGATAAAAGTTCCTGTAGACAAACAATGTCTCGATTTAGATTGTCGTCCCATAATTTAGAAGTTGAAAATGGTAGATTTGTTGGAATTGATAGAAACGATCGTATCTGTAAAATGTGTAGTACTCATGTTGAAAACGAATATCATTTTTTACTCTGTTTTTTGTCCTATTTACAGAGAGTTGCGTAAAAGATATTGTATAAACTATTCCTTTCCTACTCTAAATAAATTTTATTTTCTTTTGTCAAGTAAAAATATAAGAAAAATAAGAAATGTTGCAAAATTTACTTCATGTGCTATGAAATTAAGAGCAGAATTTCTTGCAAATATGGCTGCTCCTTAAAATATCTGTTTAAAGTACTTTCAAGTTATAGAAATATTGTTAAAATAATCGTTTGATGTATATATGTTTTTGTATGTTATATTTACATGTATATTGTATATATTTCTGTTGTCTTGGCCATCATGAATGTTATTGTAAATGGCCAAAGGCATTTTCTCATGCCGATTTAGCCAAAATAAACTGTACTGTATTATAATCTGACTAATTAATAAGATATAAATTTTAACTGTATCAAGTTACAAGTGTGAAAAGGCCATGCATCATAAACATTCTTATATTTAAAACATTTATCAAGCGGTAAAATAGGCAATTTAGATTTTACGTATATTAAAGTATTGAGTCAAAATAACCAGTAAACGTTTGGAATTACTTCTCTATGTAAATGATGTATAAAGTCAGGCATTTGTACAAGAGTAAGAAATTATAATTGTCTGGTATAGAAAATTGATGAATTCTTCGATCGTATCAATTGGCCTTCTAATTTACCTTTTACGAGTAATTTTAGATTTTTTTTCTAAGCGTGAACATATTGATGGGTCGTTAATAATTTGTCATTTAACACTTTTCTTTAATAAGAAACTCGATGTTTTCATTAAATAACTTTGTAATTTTGCTTCGAGCAACAATATGAGGCAGGATATGTAACACACACATTTTTCTATCCAAAAAACAGTTGAGAATGTATCATTTTTCACATAAAATGTATTTTACAATGAATTATTTTCTTTATCATCTTTTGTTTTAAGTCAGGCCTTCAAAATCAGAAAATCGTCCTAGTTTTATAACATTGCGCAACAACTTGTAATACATTTCGCTTCTTTCACCAACTTTTCGTGTAATTGACACCAATTGACGTACGCATGCGCAGTGGAAAAATCAGATTGTGAAATTCGAACATGCTGAACACAGCAACTTGACAAATTTCAACGGTTTTATGAGAGAAAAAGGTAAAACGGAGTCTTTACGTTATATATACGGGAAACACCGTGTGCATGGATCCAAGGATAGCTTGGTATCCGCCTGAACATTTGGGATTGGCGCACGATATATGGACAACTATCTGGGAGGCAGAGATAGGCGTGGACAACATGTCCCTCAACAATTCAAATCCAAATTTGGACCAAAAAGCTCAAGAGTACATTCCACTAAACTATGCTAATAATTTTGATCAAAAGGTTGCTGTGAATAACAGACAAAATAGCATTCAGAACTCACAGAATCAATACAAAAGAAAATGGGATAATAAGGCCAGCACCTATGGCTTGAATCATTCTTCTAATAAACATTTTCTCAGAGAAGATGGAGGATTAACACCTTGGAAACCAAGAGAAAAACAGTATAAACTACCAGGACATATTGGGTAATTTCAACTTTCTATACAAATTAACGATTTATATAATGATTTTCAGAAAATACAAGGGTCAAGGTCACTAAAATATTGTGTACATGTAGGATCAGTTTGAATATTGATACTGGATCTAACAGGTAATTTTGTGTTCCATATTATTTATTTGTATGTATTGTTACTGTTCAAAATTTTGACCAGAAATGATAACTACATACCAAAAAAAAATATCTCTATCTAACAAGCCTAAAATCTCTTATAAGTGGCCAGAATCGATTACAACTTCAAGAAAAAGATCTATGTCCATGCCTAATCAACCGTAAATATATATATGTATAAATAGAATAAAAAGCTCTTAAGAAACTATCTTTGAACAGTGTTGCATCTAGAATTTCAAAAATATGGGGGATTGTCCCCCACTCAACTGAAAAATATGGGGGATTTGAAAAAAAATGTGGGGACATACATTTACCTTACGATATGACATTCCAAAAATAATTCTATTTCACATTGATGCATTTTTGACAGCTATCGTCCGCCCAACAACGGAAATCGAAAAAAATAAAGTATTGATGAATACTTCAATACACACGCGAGATAACCCAGTCGGCTGCTACACACGATTTAGTACGTATTTTAGTCATTACCGCAAGTGAAAACAAACAGGGCTGAAGCGTTCAAGATAAGATGAAGATACAATGAAGATAAACTGAATTAAATTGAAAGGATTGTCAGATGTGCGACTTGGAGCGCATTGACATCATTGAAATGCGTGATCTGCATGAAATATTAGCAATTGCGCAGCCTACATGTAGATGCAACACTGTTTGAATCATTTTTGGGTAATTGGTATAGAGTCAAACTAGTCACAGGCCTGCTTGGCATTAAAGGGTCATTTCGGCCTTAAACCATATCGGTAAGTTCTTGGCACTGGTCAATTCAGAACAGGTGGCGCTCAACCTGGTATATAGATTTTTTGTCCCTAATTGTCTCCAGTTATTTTATTCATTATATTAGAACTAAGATCCTATGTTCTGTTCTGTATACCCTGTAATGCCATTTAAAAATTTGTTTAAAAAAGATATGGAATAAAATTACTTAAGTATTGCAGATTGTAAAGTTTCATTAAAAAGACCTGTACTCATAATTATATTTTACACATAATAAAAAAAGTCATTCCTTAAACCCCAAACTTGTAAATAACCATTGGTATAAAAAGGCTGCCTGGTTAGCTCAATAGAGCGTTGGACTGTGAATTGGGCGACCGGGTTTGAATTCCGGACGGTGCAGGTCATTTTATGTTGTGATTGTTCATGAAATCCCTTCTTCAGTCATTAACACTGTACCTCTGCTCTTGTATGTACAGAAGAAATCAGTTCCTTGCGAAAGTGAAGGCAACTAGTACTGGTAAACTGCTTGACAGCCTGTACAGGAACAATGCGGTGGCTGGTAAATTCAATGTGGCTTATTACCAACACTACCACCACCATTGGTAGAAGTTGTGATTTTTAACACTATTACATAATCGCTTTTATGCTTGAGAAAATTAGAAAGAAGACAATGCATAGAAATTAGAATATTATGAACAGTACTATTAATACAAACTGAGTTGAAACAGGATAACATGTTTGTATTGGGCCAGGATGACTTGGGAGCGAGTCTCAGGTAGCTTAAGGACCGAGCTGACCCTGATTCCAACTTGTCACAGGGCATTGAGGTTAATGACTAATTATTAAAACAGTTATCAACAGAAAGATCCTGTTTTGTCTGCAAGTTTGGTACAAAGTATTTATTATAATTATTTAAAATACTGAACATTTGTTTATAAACATGCACATGCCATTGGAAAATATTTTGTACAAAAAAAGTAAGGAACAAAAGTAACATAGGTATCTAGTTCTGCTGATTTTAAATTCTTCCAGGGTTTTTTCTGAGACACTTTCAATGTTGTCCAGGAAAGATATTACAGAATGCTTTAAGTCCTTAAATTATACAAAATAAGCAAAGAAAAACACATTTTTTTTTCAAAATAAGATAAGAAAAACATAATGTACATTGTACATAAATTAGAAAAACATATGTACATCGTACATAATAATACTGTATAAACACTTATTCATTTTTTAAGGGTTATATATATATTCATTTAATGTTCAGTTGTTATAGACCCTTTATTTAGATTTCTCTGAAATGGTGCAAGCAGCATTTATGATGATTTGCAGACAATAACTTTATCCTGAATAATAGTGAAATGCTTTACTTATTAATTGATATATATGTATTAAAATAAAATAAGAAAAAAGTAAAACTTCAAGATTGAAAATAAATGCGTTAAAATTTGATTTTAATCATTTTATCACTTGTCACTTGAGATGTTTTTTTTTTAATGAAGGCATAAAGGTTACAGATTTTTTTTCCAATCAGTGAAAATATTAAACCCCAATTAATAATTTTACTGTAATTTGTAACAGGACCTTACCACTATGTAACCGCCTCTGTGGTTGAGGGGTTAGAGTCGATGACTTCTAATCCAGTTACCTCTCTGGCGTGGGTTCAATCCCTGGGAGATGCTTTGGTAGTTTAGCGCGGAGGAAGGTAGTCTAGTACTGGTGTAACTCTCCAGGAACGATGGTTAGGAAACTACCGGCCTTTATGACTGAAATACTGTTGGGAAAGGGCGTAAAATGAAACAAACAAACAAACATTACCACTATGTGTTTGAATCCCAAAAATGGAGAGGAATCTTTCCAGCTGTTTCAGTAGTTGACAGATTGTCAGTGGTTCTACTGATGTGCCTGTTTGTGTCTCTTAACTTGAACTGAAGAAAAGGAACACATGAATTGAATTCAGTGTAAGAAATTAAGATTTGAATCGACTACTCACTAGGCTGGTCGGACTACCAGATTGGAATATTCACAAGCCCAAAAGACATTTCACTAGCAGGATTCATTTGTTCAAAACAGTTGTTTATATTGCCTCTGAAAATACAGTAGCCTGGTTGGGCTTGTTACTGTGAAAAGTTGGTAGCCTGAAGAGAAATTAAGTAGTCAGGGGCTAGCGGACTACTGCTAATTTCGAACACTGTGAATTAAAATTCATTAAAAGTTTCAATTGTGACTGAAAATAATCCAAAAAGTGAAAGTGGCATTTTTCAGATATGGAGTTGAACAAATCATTTTGCCCATGAATAGGAGAAGTCAAAGTCAAGGGCAGATCATTCAAAAATGAGATCGGCAATCCCAAATGTTTTGTGTAAAATGTATCTGTTGCCATATCCTGTGACTATGAAATCAGTAATTGTTAAAAAACATGTCTGTATTTCAAACTGAGTTTACATAACATGTTTGGACAATAATTAGTTATGACACTCACATTTTAATTTAAAAGTTTTCTTTAGAAGAGTTTCTTAAACATTTCTCGAATTTCATTCGTAAACATTTCAGATACTCAGGTGGAATTGTTTTGCAGCAATAATTAATCTAACACATGTTATTTTCATTTTGTTTACTAATCTGAAGTCATATCAGAAGAAATGCTGTCTTATGCTAAATAACTTATTCTCTAAATTGTTTGAAGGATAATTAATTGAAAATTTATTATAATTAAAGAACATTGTTAGTGACTTGTAAATACAGGGGAAATATGATTTTGCAGTTGAGATTTCTTTGTACTTCAATCTTCATATATATTTGAAAATTTGGATAAAAAAATCTTGCTGAGTTTTCTTTTTCAAGCATTTAACTGGGACCGTGTACTATTAGCTACTGTATTGTAAACAACAGCATTAACACTTCTCTCCATCTCTGTAATAGTGTTACAGTGCAGTAAATACTGTGTCAGATACAAGGAATGTGAGGCACTCTAGGTATACAATGTGCGTTACACCACGGCTTGTGTGGGGGTGTTTAATTTCAGCAGTATTACTCAACTGGGCAACTTGTAGGTTGTAGTTTTTTCCAGAAAATCAAAAGGGTATTAATATAATAATATATGTATGTATGTATTACATGATGATGATGATATAATTATATTGTCACCTTAGTGCAATAACTGGTTGACTCCTTTGAAATTTTTAGGACTTAACCCATTAATACTATAAAAAAAAGCCTCTTCCCAATCAATATTTTCTTTAAAATCATGCAGGTTTCCAAAAATACTGAACTTATACAAGCTTTTAACTTCCCACATTTACAATATTACATTTTAAGTGAGGATTTTTCCCCAAATCAAGAGGTTAAGGCCTTTTTCCAAGTATGTGAGATAAACCACCAGTGGTCGTCAGTATTAATTATGTCAGCTAGCCTTTAAATCCATGTACATGTAGTGTGACCATGATGAAGCTCTAGCAAATTTTTTATTTTGAATTCCCTTAAAACTGAGAAAAGACTGAAAACCTATTACACAAAGTTAGGAGATTAAGAATGATAATTTATTGATAATGATCATAGGAAAAAAACATATTGGAATAGACTGTTAACCATGACTATTATTATCTAAGTATAGACTTCATTTATATATTTTTTGTACTTATACAAATAGAAAAAGGCCAAGGAAATTTGTGGTTTCTTTTTTTTTTCTTCTGAGAAATTTACCATATTTGCATTTTTCAAAAATAGATAAAAGATTTAAAGCTGTATTTTCCAATAATTTAAATGAAACCGTTTTAAAGTCCAATAGTAGTGCTAAAATTAGATCTTATTTAATATACCTGCAGTGAATTATTTATAACTGTGTTACGACATGTGAAATGAGATAAGGTTTTGTTTCAATAGTTTAAGAGTCCTTTAAAACATGTAGCATGGAATTTACTCTGCACATGTAAGTAGGTCACATAAATCACTAATTGGATTGATGTTGTTGTTTTTTATTTGTTTTGTTTTTTCATGGGAAAAATGTGACCACTATTTTGTTTACTCAGGAAATCAGGAGTTAAGCTGGAAATGTGCCATTTTAATTAAAAGTTTACTACATCAACAACTCTGGGAAGTAGGCCAAATTAATTTTTAAAAGTCTGTTGTATTTTTTTAGAAGATACCCTGCCCCCCACTTTTATGTTACAAAAAAAAAATCAGGTTAGACTTTATACATTGTACTATCAGAGTAATTTCTGAAACAAAACAAAAATAGAAATATAGGTAAACTAAGAAGATAAAATGTCTTTATTTACCGGGTAGTTAAGTTTCAGATAGATTACAGCTATTAAAGTATATTGGATGTTTTGATTTTGATTATCTTGTGATTTTGATAGGGTTATCTGGGGGGAAAAAGGAGATGTACTTTTTTTCTCAGTTTTAATTGCATGAACTGTTTTGGTTAAAAAGGGGGGAGAAAAAAATCACTTCTTTATGTACAACAGGATAATGTTTCAAACACTAAGCACATTGGAAGTTTGAAACAGTTTATTTTTCAACCCAAGCCTGCTAGAGGCAGCATATTCTATCCATGTGACCAGTGCAGCCACCAAGATCAGCTGGTATCTGTGCCGTCTTATCATAGTCTGCAATGTTGGCTATTCAGTCAGTTGTTATTTTGAAATTTTTAATATGAAGTATAAATGGTTTTGTCCATGAAGATGAACAAGTTTGTTATGGTAATAACAGGTTTTACATATTCTGTGATGTATATTTTATTATAAAACAAGAGCTAGGTGTATAGAATTCATTTTAAATCTATATAATATACAATATAGTAAAATGGAAAGGTCTCTGTAAATATCTATTATGTCCATTTACATCACTGTGCTCAGAGTTGGTAGGTCTTTACTACTTTAACAGATAAATACCACACAACTGGGCATCTGGGATTTCCCTTCACCAATAATGCCTAGTATGTCTACTGATGACATTAACAACAACAATATATATATTGAAAATCTTTTTGTCTCCCTTATAATCTGCCATATAAAGATAACAGCTTTTATGTTTCTTGAAATGAAAAGGAAACCTTAAAATCTGTTCACCAAAGTTAAATTAGTCTGACTCAATCTAAAAATTGGGTCCATGAAAGTTTTAAACTGAAAATCTGTTCATCAAACTAAACTTTAAAGAATAGGTCCCAAATTTTCAAAATCAAATTCTCACACTAATCATTCAATTCCCAATCTAAAAAAAACATCATCCTGTCTAAAAATCTATCCCAAAGCTAAAAATCTCTCCCAAAACTAAAAATCTAATACGGAAATTAAAAATACATCCCTAAACTAAAAATCTAATACAAAAATTAAGAATCTATCCAAAACTAAAAATCTATAACTAACTGAAACTAAAATTATCCCAAACTAAAAATATAATACCGAAACTGAGAATCTAGCGCCTAAGGAATAATTATACAAATTTTTATATTTACAGGCTCCATGAAGAGATCAAGGATTTCTTCGGTAATATCCCCTTACACCCGATGAAAATCTCAACATGAGGGGTGAGTAGTTATCGAATACGAAACTCATAAATTATGGCCCACAAGCCATACTGTAATTTTAACTTAATATACATATCCAGAGCAAGCCATGTTATTTTTTAAGTAGCTAAAACAAATTCAAAACTAGCAAGATGTTTTACATGTAAGCACCCATGAATGTAACTGAGTAACTGAGATATTTTACTTAATACCTAGGTGTCAGCATCATTGTCACATTTTGATTAAGTTTCTGCATGCACGATGGTATCATCAAAACTGTAGAAGGGAATGGGTTGAAACTTCACATGCTGCATAATATTGGGTCTAATATTCATATCTCTAGCATGGGTTTTGACAGAATTATGGTCTTGTTTTACTTTTACTGTCAAGCACATAAAATAGTGAAGCAAGTTGGCCTACTGATAGCTCTTGTTATTTCCATAATTTGACAGACTTTCATGTTATATTGTAGTAGAAAGGGAATTTTCCGGCCACTTGTTCTGAAGCAAACATGTAATATTATGTGTATTTTGTTTTTAAATTTTCTTACTTTTGCCTTTCCCAAATTCAAAGTTATATAAGAAAGAACAGTTAAATTATGATGAAGAACTTTATAAAACATCTTAAAACAAGTTAAAACATCTTGAAACTTTTATTATAATTTGAATAATAAGTAATCACTGACTCAAATATAATAGTATTAACTGTATATATCAAACTTTCAAATCCAGTACAATACAACCATTGTTTTCTTTATCACTCAATCTGTGCAATGAAATATTTGCCCTCATAACTTAAAATGAATCTATGCAGGTTTTACTTTGACATTGTCATACAGTTTAACATTTTTATATTTGCATATATTTTTTTTTTGCGATACAAAATCAGATAATTTAGTTAACTTTGTTATAATCGTGTGTAATCAACAAGTCCGCAGATGCAAATCTGTTGCAGTGCATGATTTTCTTCATAAATAAATCGCTGTTCTGTGAAAGAGACTTTAAAAAAGATGTTTATCACAGTAAAAGAGAAACTTTACAAGATGTCAAAAAGTGGTGTATTGATTAAATACTGGCTGGCATGCTGGTTTGATGTTTCTTTGTTTACTTTGTGATGTACATGTAGCTTTGTAGGATAAAAGTACAGCTAAACTGATAGGCTTAAATTGGTGTGCCATCTTAATCCACTTTCCCAGCATGCATCATAATATATCCCTCAGTTAACTTATGATTGTTATTGATGTATTTTTAAGCCTATTTATAGAAGGCAATGAAGTCTTGGAAAATGAATGAAACTGTCGTCATAGAGTTATTATATGGTTTTTGAATAATATTGTAAGATTTCATTTGAAAGATAGCAAGATTCCAATGTTTTTTTTTAAAGATAATCAATTTTGATATCAAAATATTTGCATAATTATTTAGTTTTGACAGGTATTTATTTACTGTGTGTTCTGGAAATTTATGTTCTGGAAATTTTTATTTTGATAAATGTTAGGTAAACATAATGTTTGTATAGGGCTTTAAATAGTAGTGGTTCCCTTTCTTTAAATTGGAATTTAATATAAATATTTCTTGTATATTTCAGGTTGAGATTTTTGGTAGTTTTCGTACAGGGCTTTATCTTCCAACAAGGTGAGTGTTTATACTTAAACCACTGCATTTAAAGTAAAATGCTCTTGTTTTATTGTCAAAAGTTCTGTTGTGACATTTTCAAAAACCAAACTCTTTGGCCTTATAGGTGAACCATATTTTGCTTTGGCCGTTAGTAAAGTAATCACGATACAGTATTTTTTATGGGAGACATATTAATGTATCTTTAAATTTTGCTGCTTTTATGAGGAATTATTTTATAAGCATGGAATATGAGCTGTTATTTAATTTTACCCATGAAATATGGTGCTATATCAGTCAAATATATTTCATATTTTTTAAAAATAAATATGAAATATAAATATGAAAGTGGGCGGAGTCAAAACTTATATTTATTTTATGGGACTTCTTTCGCCGTTTTGTTTGAAAAATCTGATAAATACAAAACAACTTTTTCTTGAATTTTGTTTTGAAAACTATCTAGCATGATAGAAAATGGTCTAACTAAGAAAATCAATCCGAACACCAATATCTTTAATTCAGTAATTAACGCTGTACAGACGTTTAAAGAGTTGTTTACATGACGTCACAATGTAGCGCCAAACAGCGTGTGCTTACGCATAAATTACTGCCACTGTACAATTGCAGTTGGTAGCAAGCAAGGGGATTCGCTACCATTTTCTTTGATAATGAAATTAAATAAAAAGGTTATTTTTTCGTTTTTCGTGAAATATGGTATATATTTTCACTCAACATGATAAAATGCCACATATTTTCACTCGCCGTACCGGCTCGTGAAAATATGCGGCATTGTATCATGTTTCGTGAAAATATATACCATATTTCACGCAAACGAAAAAATATCCTCTTAATATTAGTATTAAAACTTATGAAAAACAGTATATTCTTTCTTCAGAGGAAAATATTTTCATTTCTGAGGCAAAATGTGCCTTTAAATGTTGTAATTCCACTGAGATCATAAAGTCTGAACATATAAAATTTGAATTTCTTACCCAGATCACTTGGGCACTGAAGCTAGAATTCTCATAATCAGTTTGTTTACTTTTAACAAAGTTGAAGCTACTCTTCATGTAGGACAAGCGGCTCTAAAGATTTTTTTTCGATCCCTGACAATCATTGTTTTGAAAAAACTGACGAAGCAAATGATTTAAAATTTGCTAACAAGTAACTCGTTCAGGCCTGCATAAAGTTTAAATCTTGAAAAAAATCCAGTCACGTCATGTCAAAAAACTGCAATGGAGTGAGTCCCTTTAACTACTCACTGGCAGCAATCTGGTAAGAATTACTTGACAAAACAAGGTCACTTGCTTTGCTAGCGTTCAATAACTATATTTCAAATGTCAATTTTTTTTATTGTAATATTAGTGTCTGAGTCACTGACCAATCTGATAATTGTTATTAACAATGACATTGTCCTCTGAAATGTTTAAAATCACAATAGGCCAATTTTATATTTTGCTAACTGGTATTTTGTCAGATTTTTGAAGAGTTTTTTTTGTGAGAAGAATATAATTTCTTTTCCCATTTCTCATGACAAAATTGTCAATTTCAAATAGAAACTTCCAGTAGGTGACATTGATATCTCTCCTTTTCTGTTTCTTGATTATTCCAATAAATGAAATAAGATACCAACATGTATACTACCTACATGTATATTACCTATATATACCTGTGTACTTGTTTAATGATTCTTAGCATGTAAAATGAAAAAAGAACTCTTGAAGTGTAAGCAACACTTATCTGTTCTTGTTAGAGATGTTGACTAACTAGTCTGCCCTAAAAGTTTGAATATCAATTGGATTTGGTATTGGATTTTGTAATACAGGAGTTGCTGGTTCAATCACTGGACAAAGCATAATTACTACTTGATAATTAATCTTGGATAATGAGTCAGTCTAATGGTCATTTGCCTCTCACTGCTTAACTCCTGATTCAGAAATCGTGTCAAACAAGTAGTCTGTCACTTCGTCACTTGCAGAGAAATTGGTAATTAATGGTTAGTTAACCAGGACAACTGGTTAGGTTGACTGACCAAAAATGTGTTGAAATCCCCTAAAAAAAAGCAACCCCAAGACAAACAAACAATATGTTTGCAAAGTGAATCACTAGTCACTCTGCTGTTGAGCTTCTATGAAGAAAAAAGTTATTTTCTTCTTGTGTATATGTGAAGGAAACATTTTAATCTGGCTACTTTTTGGAATGTCACAGATTTATTATTAGTACTTTGAAGTACACAAACTCACAGGATGTTCTTTTAATGTATTACAGATAACAAGTATGTATATATTATATAAATATTTCAGTGATATAGACCTGGTGGTGTTTGGTAAATGGGAGCAATTACCTCTTCATACTCTAGAGAAAGCGCTGTTAGAAAAGGGCATCACAGATAAAGACAACATTAAAGTGCTGGACAAAGCTTCGGTATGTATACACCCTTTGTTTTTAGATGTTTCATCTATGTCAGTGCCAATTGATGGTTCCACTAGGGTTTTGACTTTGGGCTGAGGCAGGTACAAGATGCCATCATTCACCATGGTAGTATGAAAGTTACCATGGTGTCTTTTTGACAGTGCCAGTGCAACTTAAGACCCTACCAAACAGAAATATGTACCAACTTCAGCTAATAAAATGAGTCCATAGAATTTGTGTCAATAGTTTCTAGTTGACAAAGTTATTACTTTCTCTTTCTTGTATGGGTGCATTGTGCGGATGCTTAAGCCATACATTGTTTTAATTTTTATAAAATTTGTAAAATGTAGAACTATTACTGCTTATCAATCCACACATTTTTTTATCATGTAAAAAAACAAACTTTAATACAGTTTTCGATTGCTTGTTTATTTTTAACTGGAATGTGTACAAGTTTAAAACCCCACGTTGAATAAATGATGACAGTTTTCTTTGTTCTCATACTTCATATAAAATTTTCCTGATGGATATGAATAAATTAAAAATATACTTGTTTCCTGGAAACAATTGATTATAAATATTTATCAGCAATCATCTATGATCTGTCATTGTAGTTATCATGTTATTACTTTATTTGATGAGTTTTAATATTCCAAGAAACATGCCAAATATTTGCATGTTCATGTAAATGAAGTAAGCATAAATATTATTGTATTCTACCCTAAGCAGCAGTCATTTGTAACATTCAATTCATGAAAAAAGACAGGTAAAACAAAATGTTATGGTTCAGATCCAGGTTTTTTTTCTCAGCACATTGTGAACATGACCCAATTTGGGAATTTTTAAGATGTTTAGGACAAATTGGGAATAACTGAGAACATATTTATTGTATACATCAAATAAGACAAAGATGTCAAATATTTGGTTAATTAAACTCCATTTTACATTTAAGTCATAAGCACATTTTACAATTTCAAATGCAATATTACTATTTTCTATGGCACAGTGCAGTTAAATGTAACAAAGTGACCAAAAGTTTATTTATTTTATTTTTTGGATTTAGAATTTTTCCTTGAAACCATTTTGTGACATTGGTAACATGAACCTATATCAATCATCAAAATGGGCCTAAGATCAAAGTAACTAATGTTTATTTTTGTTATTTTCAGGTACCGATTGTGAAGTTAACAGATCTGCAAACAGATATAAGAGTAGACATCAGTTTTAATGTTCCTAACAGTGTCAAAAGTGCCAAGCTTATCATGGTATGATTTTACTATATTTAACATTATTTACACAACATTTTGAGCCCCTCACCACTCTGGGTTCGAATCTTGACAGGGACTTTGGATTCTTTTATGTGGGAAAGATATCCAAGTAGCTTACGGAACATCGGTGGTTCTACTCAGATGCCTGTTTGTGCATGAAGATAATGTACGGAATGGTACGAACAGTAAAGCTGGAATGTCGCCATATGACCTATACTGTGTCGGTGTGACATAAAATCTAATCAAACAAACAACAATTTGAGCAGCCTGCCTCAAGATTCATGCTAATTTTCATGAAAATTTTGAATATTGGTAAATTATTGTGAAGGGACAAAAGAAAGGAATTTTCACAATGCAAATGTTACTTCAATCCACGTAAATAACCAAAAAAATATCAAAAGTGCAAAAACAGCCCTTAAAGTGTTTAGTCACATTGAAAAAAATATGATTATACTGCGAAATCCGCCATTAACAACTCATAACATGTGAATAATTACTTTAATCTTTTTACTTTTTTTAACATCCATTTTTTCACAAGTTTGATTTTCTTGAAATATTTTGGCTCATCTTGAGGCATGCAGCTTTAAGTACAGTAATGAATTGTCTAGATGAAAGGATCAACTACCTTATAAACTCTAATAAACAGGAGCATTAATAAACAGGGGCATTACAGGGGGTAAATTCAAGAGTGAAAAAAATTCAATAATGTCAAAAAAGAAAGAATTTTATTGTTCTTTTTGTAGTTTCTGGCTGGAAACATCAGCTGTGTTTAAATTTGTCCATATATCATCTGATATATAATAATTGTTTCTGGCTGAAAGCACTAGTTATATTTATATTGAAATTTGTGCTAACATCCTTTGATATATAATAAACTAACCAGAAAAAAACTATGTATGTGATTGATTAATGAATTGTCAGAGTATAAAAGTAGGTGTATAAAATTTTCCAACTTGTCAGAATTCAATGAAAGAGTGCTAGACTTGGAAGAGACTTGCATATATATATAAGAATTGATATACTTTACCTTTAGATATGTTACATGATCATATGTGAAATATTTCATATACATTTCAGAAATTCATGAGCGAATACCCGATATTAAAGTACCTCGTGCTTGTGTTGAAACAGTTTTTACTACAGCGTGATCTTAATGAAGTCTTCACAGGGGGAATCTCATCTTATAGTCTCATTTTACTGACCGTCAGCTTTCTACAGGTATACTAAATCCATGGATACGGTTGTAAATGTATAACAACAAATTTGTAAGGGGGATATACTGGAGTCAGCTTGTCTGTCCAGCCATCTGGCCTTCCGTCAGATATTCCTTGTCTGCCCAATAACTTAAAAATCCTTGTGGGCACAGTCTTTATATTAGTTATTGAGATTGTTCATGATTAGTAGATTTTGAGAAATAGCTTTTATCAAATGTAATGATACTTTGTAGGTATAGTGTCTGAATATGATTAAATTGCCTATCGGTTCAATGTGATGCTATTAAATTGCCTAAGTTGGGTGCTAACCAGGTGCCACTTTTTTTCTGAAATTAAAAATAATAGGAAGTTATATATGTAAGAAATACGTGATTATGTTCACTCTTCTAGTAGATAATTGTTCACCTGCTCAAAGGTCATATTGTTGTGGAAATAGAATGTAGAGTGATTCAACAATTTCCTATCCCTTTATTTCCTTATAAAGGCACTGATATTTTGTTCTACCATGTTTAACATCTTTCAATCTGATTATCAGAACAAAAACATTGGTCATTTTGAGGATAAATGTGCCCGCTGATTTTGGTCTGCACTGGTGGCATAGTTAGTTTCAGTTGTGGCTGGCCGGCTAAAATTTAAATCATTTGCCCCTGACTTGTGTATGTTTAAAATAAAAAATACCAGCAATACTGTTAAATTCTTACAATCAAGAAGGCCATACTGTTAGTTTATTTAAAAATTGATGGTTAAGATAGCCCTTACTGTTTTAGTGACATAGTAAGAATATGGTGAGATGTACTGCTAAATTAGTCATTAATCACACATAACATGGAAAATTTTACTTGAATCTGAAATGTTTTTTACTTAAAATGTCAGTCTTTTTTACTCAAGTTTGATTTTTTTTTTAATATTTTGGCTTGTCTTTTAAATGTTGTATAAGAATAGGACAGCAGTTTCTGTTTTCCCAACTCCCCAAAACACACCCTCACATCTGACTTACCCAAACACACTCACACATCCAACTTGCCCTCTGCCATGTTTTATAATTTCTTGCTACAGTTTTATTGTAACTGTCTTACACTGATTGTTGTTTAGATAAAAGATGTTTTATATGAATATATTGGATTGTATTTATGAATTTTATAGGACAAGATTAGAATTTTTGACATAAATTTCTTTCCCTGTAATTCTGAGACAAATTTGTTTTATTTGAATATACAGCAAACATCTAAATCTTCCATAGCCGTTAATGGTTAAATATCCAATTTTCATTCTCTTATCCAAAAAAACAATGTAGATATTGACTTCTGAATGAAAAGGTACATGATAAAAGTCAAGCCTGATATGTTAGTTATATTGAAAAACTAATATACAATATTGTCTTTAAATTATCACCATGAGACAGTGCTAATTCTGCTTTCCTATAAAGGGAGCGCCTGTATGGGTAAAAATTCATAAACACACGTAAACAAAAACAAGCAATTTTCTAAGACTTCATGATTTCAAGGTATTCTGGGATTGTATGCTGCAGACGACAAAATATATTCATTGTAAAAGATTTGATATAGGTAATCAATACAAATAAGTCTTATTTATTTGTAGGTGAAAAATCATTTCATGGATGATTTTGATGGCAGGTTTTAATGAAAATCTTGTATTGTCTGCATTTTTTCTCTTAAAGGCCTATTATGTCTCAGAAATGCTTTATTTTTGTTTCTCAAAAGATCTTATATAATATTGGTGAACTTTTATAGTATCCAAAAAATTAATCTTTGGCCTATTATCTGAACCATCTTTTTGATCTGTTGCTTTTTGGCAATAAGTACAGTTTTAGTGAAGTATTTTGTATTGAAGTCAAAATACTACTTTTCCTATGTGGTGTTTTCCATTCCTAATCAGAAGCTTTACGATACAAAGTGAAATTAAGTTGAAACAAATAATGGACGAAAAAAGAAACTTATTCACAAAGATGTTTAAGGAAAATTTTTAAGGTTGAATTCATTCACAAAGATGTATTAGGAAAATTATTACGGTTGAATTCATTCACAAAGATGTTTAAGGAAAATTATTATGGTTGAATTTTGATGATTTTTGATGGGAACCTTCTAGAATGTTTGATTCCTGATATCTTTTTCTTACATAGCTCTTATTCTTTCGAAGTCACTTTTGGAAACATGCATGTTTCTTTTATAAGGCATATACGTAAGGGCTGGATGTTGTGAAAATCCATAGGGAAACAAAGAAACAATTAAAAAAAAACTATAGGTTAGTCGTAGGTTTGTTAACTGGTTATGACATCATAATGAATTATTCTTACTGAAGTCAGTCAACTTGTGTTCAGTGATCTGGAACAAAATCATGAATAATGCATCTATGATTTAATATATTTTAAAATTGAAGGGTTATTCTACCATGAAACGTAATGACTTGAAAACCATGTATCAATCATTCAAAATCTCATACAAATCAATAACAAAAAATTAGAGATCAATAAATCATAACCTTGCAGTGTAATAAACGAGATTTAAAGGCACATTATGCCTCAGATTTGAAAATACATTTTTTATGTTTTAGAAAAAACAAGCATGTGTTTATATTATAGTTTAAATATTGTTTGTAGAGCATATAAGATGTAGTTGCGCTAATTTTGAAATAATCTATAATAAAAGGAGCAGAATGTAAACAAAGTGGTATTATCACTTCCATACAGAAAACTAAATCACTATGTTTGTACTAATTGCAAAAAAGCAAAAGAAGGAAAAGATGGTGTAGGTAATTTGCCATTGAGTTTCTTTTTGGAGACTATAAAAGTACACCAAAAATAAAAAGTCTTTTGGAAATATAATATTCCTGGGGCATTATGGCCCTTTAAATTAACTAATGTCACAGTTTTCTTTTCTTTTAGAATTTAGCTTTGAGGATATGTTGTATAGTGTAATGACGACAAAGATTATTACTTCAATTGTTATAGATGAATGCAAAGTGAACTCAAATGTGATGGTGAAAATTTGAATTCTTGTAGTGTGAGTGTACAAACCGTAATTTATCATGTTAAAACTGTTGATTGTCATGTCATTTCTTGTTCTATTTTAGTTAAATCCACGAGAAGATGCCACCAATCCAAAGATCAACTTAGGCATCATGTTGATAGAGTTCTTCGAGTTGTACGGTCGACATTTCAACTATCTCAACACAGGTATTCGAATTAAAAACGGGGGCGCCTATGTTCCAAAGGATGACATCACAAGAGAGATGGACAATGGTCATAGGCCTTCCTTGCTGTGTATTGAGGACCCACTCACACCAGGTCTGTGTTTAGTTAATACAGAATTTGAGCCTCGTCACGACAAATCCAACATTATGGGTTTGCGTCCAGCATGGATCCAGACCAGTCTGCACATCTGCGCAGTCTGATCAGGATCCATGCTGTTCTTTTACGGACCCTAAACAAGTAAAGAAACTTATAGCGAACAGCATAGATCCTGATCAGACTGCCTAGATGCGCAGGCTGGTCTGGATCCATGCTGGTGGCAAACACACTATGTTGGTTTTGTCGTGACGTGGCTCATTTGTTTTGGTTTGATTGTGTTGGAAGTGATATGCTGACAGACAATCCCGTGTAATCATATCCTGGGACTAACCAGTGCCATGCCATGGGTTTAATGTTTCTTGGTCAAGGAAACAACAGCTTGCCTTTAATGGCATTTGAACAGACATGAGACAGCAGTTCTAGATTACTAGTCCGACGCTTAACTACTCTGCAACTGATCAGATCCATATTGTTCATGTTTTGATTTCACATGAGTCAAATAATGGCGGAAAAAAATTAGGGCATATAGTTGTTGCTAAACCTTGTTTCTCAGGCAACAGATTTTTGATTGTCCTCAATTCAAGAAAATTTTATAAAACTTGTGTTAGTTTTGATTTAAGTTGTGCATTATAATAATTGTCGCACATAGCTCCAAAAGGATTTACATAAGGCTAATGAAACTTTAAAGAAATGTTGGTCAACATGAGTTTTTTGCCCTTGACTTAGTTATCAAAAAATCAGTTTTCAACTTGTGTCACATGTAGCCCAAAATGATATTTAACCTAGAGTCAGTAGATTGACAAAACAGTGGAGTGTCTGGGCACCAGTGTCCTATGGACACATTTCTTATATTAAATAGAAATAATGTTTTTGCAAGGATATCCATGTTTCAAGTACAGGATTATTGATTATATACAGTTGATAATTGAATGTTTGGTATATAATTTCAGGCAATGATATAGGGCGAAGTTCATACGGTGCAATGCAGGTAAAGCAGGCTTTCGAGTACGCTTACCTTCAGTTACAGTACGCTCTAGCTCCCCAAAATAGACATCTTCTTAGTGGACCTCAAAGGTATTTATATACAAGTGTTACATTTGATTATATTGTTTTAAAAACTACATCTCCCTAGGTTAATAAATGATTAATAATAATGCTTGTCTTTAAGGTAGCTTTTCAGCGGATTATGTTGATGTTTATATAGTTTTATATAGACAGCTTCTGTTGATTTATGAACAACAGAAAAAATTGATGCTTGCTACATGTATATTATTAATTCGTTATAAAGATTTTTAGACAGATTGTATGGCTGTATATAAAGGGTTGTTTGCTTAATAAATCAATGAAATGAAAATTAAAAAGAAATAATTTCTGAGGTATAATGGACCTTTAACTAATTTCTATTTTTAGCATATTGGGGCGTATCGTCCGTGTTACAGAAGAGGTACAAGACTACAGACGATGGATAAAAGAACATTTTCCCGTAAAAACTAAGGAAGTTAGTAAGGTGGATTCGAAAACGAGAACATACGCAAGTGTTGCAACGTCAACGTCCAATCCTAAATCAAAGTTAGATCAGGATAATAATAACGGGTATTTTACTGGAGAGATTTTGTATTTGTTTTTAAGTCGTTACTGCGGAATGGTAAAGTTGTTGACATAGAATAACTTGCTTTTACCTGTTTTGGGTTTAATTTTAATAAGTTTTTTCATGTAAGGAAGATACGTGGCTAGCCTCAAGAAGGTTGGTGGATCTACTCAGATATGCCATTGTGTTAATAATGTTTTACAACATACCCATGCAGCTTCTGCGACTCTGTAAAAATGAAATTGCACGACCATGCATATATTTTGACATGATGTCATTTGGGTTATACATATATTGTGTAACGACGTGCTAAATGTTAGCAATACACTTTAGGAGAATGAAAAATAATTCTTTTTCACTTATAACAGTCTTTATTCTTTGTGTGTGCGATAAAAAGAGTATTATAGCTGTTAAGGTTCTTTACACAATTTATTGAACTCTTTACAGTTTAATAAATTTAGTATTGAACTTAGACTCAATCAATATCCTCTATATATATGGAGGGGCACCTGTGGTACTCTGCCAGCTAGAAAGTACATATACTAGTTTGACAAAGGGGTAATTATTATGTGAAACAGAACCTCATTGCATGTGTTGCGACTTCTTGGTGTTTTTCTCCAAATATTTGTTGACATTTGAGTTATGATAATCAGTATAAGAAAAGGCCTGAAACTGTGAAGATAAATGAATCACTTGTGGTGGCCTCAGCAGGAGGTTGTTTTAATCACCTGGATTGAAAAGTCATGAACTGTTGATATTAGATATGGTGACAGAACAGTGATACCTTTCAGTCAGTTGTGTAATAAGTGAGAACTCCTTTTGTTTCTTGCAATATTGCTTTTGAGTCACGTTTGGTATGAGAAGAAATAAAACGTTGTTGCATGAAATAAGTCATTTACCAGTCTGGTGATCAGTTCATACAACCAAGTAACAAAGTTAAGATATCGTGTATTTTTGTTTGTATTTAGCTCAACTATAAGAAGAATAAGGAGAGCTATTGTAGTAACCCTTGAGTTGGCACCGCTGTCCCTCTTTGGTTAAGTTTTTGCATGCAAAATTGTATATTAAAAAATTACAGGAGCAAATAATTATTTAGCATAATTGGCATAGGTCCTGTAACTCGGACTCCTGAGTTAATTATACATGTGTTATGCCCCCTTTCCTACTGTCATAACATAAGAATAGTCTAGCCCATTGTCTTATACTACTAAAAAACAGCTTTTGTTGAAATGTGAAGTTGAGATTTTGCTGTAAATTACCTCTCAAAAGAATGTATAACAACTTGTAAAATAAACTTACAAAATTGTTACTTGTTTAGGTTAAGCTGTTCTTTCCTGGTGTTACCTGAAATAATGCACAGATTAGCATCTGGTCTTATTTTGTACAAGCAAATACTGGAGGGTGTTCTTGCGGCTTTTCATGTATTGTTGATTTGCATGGAAACCAGACAGAAAAAAGAATTGTCATGAAACAGAGAAACATTGTTTTACACTTTGATATGTGCTACATTTTTACCTCATCTGTTTTCAAAAAAAAATATATATGTATGAATGCCGCCATGTAGTCATCGTTGAATGTAAAATTTTTTATAATAGTTCTTTATTGGTAGATTTGATATGATCATGAAACCTAGAATACTTATTAGCACAAGGTTAAGTTGTAAAACAAGGGCAAAACTCTGAAAGTTTTATTAAAGTTATGCCCAAGTCAACATATATATTTTTCTTGCTCTTGTTTATATAGGTATTAAATGATTAAATTTGTTCATATTATAGCCCAGTGTTGATAGGGGATCAGAAACAAAAGGCTGTGGAAAGTGAGAACTCCGACTCAAGTGGTAACAGTTCCGTTTGTAGGTCCTCCTCCTCTAGTGTCTGCAGTGCTGGTTCGAGCCCAAGTCTTGATAGTGAACCGGTAAGGATATCTGTTCTACTTGATTTATGATAAAGCACTCCATTGATTTATGGAAAAAGCACACTAAATTTTGTCCTGTCAACAGGTACTTTGTTCTTTACTGTAGTAAATTCCCTATTTAAACGTTGCCTTATGAATACGAATATTTCTATGTGATTGAATATGAAAAATGAAATATTCAAAAGCTAAATTCAGATTCCTTATAAGCTTCTAGTTCATAGTTCAAGAAAAACAAAGCAAAATATGTTTTGTTAACTTTTTTAGTCTGCTGCTTTTATTAATATATTTAAGGAAGCCATCTTGCTTACATCAGTTTATTTATCCTTTCTATATGTTGTGGGTTATATACCTGCTAGGATGGTTGAATTATTGATTTGTTTCCTGTGAAGGACCAGTTTTCTGTTTGTTGTTGAAGTTCTGCATGTAGATACACATTTTTCTACACCAGTTAAAAAGGGAAACTGACAACATTTTACAGGAAATCTGTGAAGTTGTGAACATGTTTAAACACCTGTTGATATATTATTTCCGTTTTGAACAAAGGATGGTTTTAGTGGTAGAATGAACCCTGGCCTAGTAGAAGTTCATTGTCTTGTTAACTGCCAGAGAAAGGTCAAATTTATGGAAACAATGACATCTGTCATGTGTTGATTGTAGAGCTGTCATTGATTCAGTGCAAAGCATATCAACGATATATCGATATCAAGTAACTAAAATCAACGATACACCGATATATCGATAATATCCTTTACTCACTTGTCTGTCATTCACTTTCATACCTGTTTCAATGATTTCAGTCAAAAACATGTTCTGTACAGTGTCTTGTCCACTGCTTGATTTTTTCCAGACAATATTTTTTGTCACCATTGCTATGAAATAATTCCACTATATAACAAAAGCATAACATTAGATATAAATAACTGTTTCTGCATATATTTTGGGTGAATTGTATCATTTCTAGACATTTAATTTATAAGTCAAAGTATCGATTTTTTAAAATGTGTATTGATTATTGATCGACAAAAAAATATCAATGATACATCGATATTGTCGATATCGATGACAGCTCTAGTTGATTGGTGTCCATGCAATTCATCAATACAGTGTTATCAGATGATGATATGCCATAATAAAATGTTGATTTATTCTTCTTTTGTAATATTTGGCCGGGTTGCACGGGTGCAAATCTGGGTTATAGTATGGTGAATGTCTGGCGGGGAAAAACTTTTCGTAATAGTTTTCTCAGCAACTTCTTATCACAGCCTCTTCATATTTGGCATACAGCATTGACACATGGTCCCATACTTTGGGATTAGATATTAGGTTTTATCGCTCATGCACTTCCTGTTTATCAAGTTAGTTAAATTTTCGACATTAATGGTCAATGGTAAATATTTTTTGTAACATCACAGCCTCATGATATTTGGTTTACAAATGCAACTGGCCTTTTCTGTCTTAAACCCATTTTATGAAGTTTTCCTATTGTATATTCATGTGACATTTCATCATTCTTATCAAACTTGCCTATTCTTAAGTGAAGTTTACTATTTCTTATTTGAAGGTTTCTTATTTTCTTATGTGAAGTTTTCCATTTCTTATTTGAAGCTTTCCTGTTCTTTTATGAAGTTTTCCATTTCTTATTTTAATGTTTCCTGTTTTCATATTCTGTTTGTGATGTTATATTAGTCTACAAGTAAAGTTTTCCTAATCTTATTTGATGTTTTTGCAATTCTATGTGTGAAGCTTTTCTATTCTATATATAGAATTTAACTATCTTAAAGTTTCATTATTTGAAGTTTTTTATCTGTCAGTATTTCCTGCTTTTTACGAAGTTTTTCCTTTCCTTCGAAGTTTTTCTTTTCCATATGTGATGTTTTCCAGTTCTAACTGGCAGTCTTACCATTGCAAGTGTTTTTTTCCTGTCCTATATATTACTTACCTGTACTTCATATGTTAAATTTTCCTATATTTACATGATCAGAAATGTCTCAGAAATATGAAACTACCTAGTTCACCTGGATGAAGTTGTTCTCTGAAATGTAAGCTGCCAACCTGTCATATATCGTCTCCTTAGTGCAATAACTGGTTAACTCCTATTAAATTTAGAAGGACTTAACCTGTTACTGCACTAAGGCAGCGATATATATGTTGTATAATAATCATTCAGATCAAGTGGAATATTAGAAAGAAATCTTGTTACTGTAAATAGAAAGAAGACTTGTTACTGTAAGATGTTAAGCAGTGAAAATGGGTTTAATGCTGATAAATCACAAGGTCTTCCAGGTGTCAGATTACTCAATTTTAAATTCCCAGAATTTTATTTGAGAAGCAATCAATAGTAGAGATGATTTACTTTTAGAACAGGTTAAGGACTGCTATATTAAGTGGATGAATTTATTAAGAACAAAACAAACCAGATCATAATGTTTAATGTCAGTCTTTGTTGCACTGACTCAGCAGTTTATTTTTCAGGATTCAGTGATTATTTTAGCAGACAATAAAAGAGGGCCAATGAGGCCAAATAATGGCCCTTTTTCCAAATTGATAAAAGTGTTGAAAATTCTTCCCGAAAATGTGAAGATTTCATGGAACCAAACTGTTTGGCATATGTGAATTACTTTGGAATACACCATTTTTAGCTCCACTTTTCAAAGAAAAAATGTGGTTGCATGGTCATGTCCCACTCAACAGCATTTATTAACCTTTTTGTTTGGTTAATTTTTCCATTATGGTCATTAACTTCAGTGCTAATAAAGCTATAGCATTGAAAGTTCATATTTGAATATATCTTGATGAGTTTTACTTGTAAGACTGATTTTGAGGTCAAATGTCAAGGTTGCTGTGACTGTTAATATATAATCAGTTAAGGTCCAATTTCTCAGAAACTATGAAAACTTTTCACTTCAATCTGGGTATACTTGCTCAATGTTATCTTGCGATGCAGATAATCTCAAAAAATATGTTTTGCAAAGCTCTGCCCCTTTTTTGACTAGGTTGTTTTGCTCTAGTTAACCTTGATGTGAAGGTTAATTATTAAAAACTATCAAAGATATCTATTTTATTTTTGTATTTTTCAGGATTCTGATGCAGAGACTGCCTCAACGGAGAAAAAAGCACTTGTTCCTAATGATGTTGAAAAAACAAAAGAAGGAAGTCGCGAATTTCGCAATAGCAGAGACCAACTGAAACAAGTTCAAAGGTTAAGTCCAAAGAGTCGTGATGGAAGCTCTAGTAGTGTGTCGTCGAACCGCTCGGCGGCTTCCGTGTCAAATTATCGGCCCAGTTCTGTGAATAATAACTACAGCAATAATTACTCGTATCAGGATAATTACAATAGAAACACTGATCATGGTGGTGGATATTGTTACTCTGGTAACCGGCCTCATAGTAGTAAATCAAACTATTATAAGCAGCATCTGTCGGGGAACCAGGGCAGCAAAAACTTGGCACATTATCCTCACCATCCGTCGTCAGCGTCTACACGTCGCCGTCGACGGAATAGCGCCAATGGAAATAAGACTGTAAAAGAAACTAATAGCAAAGACAGATATCAAAACAACAGAGGTGATTACTCATCAGCAAGCGTGTCAAGGTAACACATCAGTAAGGCCCGCACTACAAGCGTGTTGGGCTCGTCAAATATTACAGCTGGGCGAGTGTAAATACCTTTTTTAGCAACAGAAATCGTATTTTTTAATCATTCACAGGAAAGAACCATTTCTTTATAATGATAGGGGTTGAAAAAATTGAAAGGAACTGACATCTGGTGTGTTAATTAATCCATTTGATCATGAAATGTTTTTCATCTTGAAAATATGCATTTATTTAATTAGAGAGTTTTGTTGTATTATAGGACTAAATAACTAAGATCTTTTAAAACTGAGAAAAAAAAGTATGTGTGTCTCAACAAATGGTATCCAGTGTTGTTTTCAGATATTTATTTTTTCCCTTTTTTCTTATTTTGTATATATTATTAAGAGTGAAAATCTCATCAGTGGTGTAAACCTTTTAAGGTGGGATCAGAATGCGTGAAAAAAAAAACTTGACGGAAATACAATTTTAATGTAATCATATGCATCACTTATGGCACATTGGTACCTTTTGTTGAGACACGGCTAATTCTGTATAGTGATATTACTTGGCCTTGAAATGATCTTCACTTTACAAATTGGATATAAACAAGGGAAAAGAAGATGCAACATTACCAACTGGTTATTATTTTAATACACAGATATTTTTTTTACAAGGTTGGCAACGTTTTTAAGAAATTGCTTAAAAGAATTTTCAGTTTCCCTTCGTTAGTTTTATGAAAAGATTTTACTGTAGCCCTTTTTTTAAAAAAAAAAAATTTGCATGAAATTTATTCAGAGGTTTTGAGTTGTCTGTGTAAATTTATTTTTAGAAATTAACTGGCCTTAAAGCATTTTGTGAAGATCAGTATGTAATGTCCATATCTCATGGAAAAACATGAGTTTGAACTTTCATGTATGAGTTATGATGGTTTTGCACCGTAGCCCACAGTATATCAATTTCCGTTTTTGCCTGACGGATTTATTTTTCTCATGTTTCCATGTAAAATGTTCATCTTCTATGTCTAGTCTAAACCTATGTTCTATTCTTTAAACATTTACATTACATGCATTTATAACAATTTCCTTGATAATTTTTATACAAAGAAAATGTAAAACAAAATCAGTCAATCCCTCAAAGTCGGTACGAAGGCAGATTGATTGATTTAGTTTTACATTTCTTTGGCCTGTATCTTTCTTGGTGCTACAATAAGGTTGGAAAAGTCACGACAGTTGCCTAGTCAGTACGACTTAAAAACCGATTCAAAAGGGGAGGTAATAAGTAAATTTCTGGTTTATAGAAAAGATTTTAAGCAAAGACTGAATGACAAAATACAAGAGTAAATTATAAGATTATTCATGCAAAGATTTTTGTCCAAAGTATTTTCTACATTTTCTATATTATTTATACCTGTTGCTTACTGTAAAGCTGCATGTAGCCTGCCAGCATTAAAACTAACAGATGAAATAAGATAAAGTTACAAATTTTGAACATGATTTGTGGTTTTTAGAAATAGTTTTATATTGTCAGCCAATGACATTAAATAAAGTCTGATGTAAAGCAGACACTTCATCCAACTTGACGGAGAGTGTGATTTCTGGTAAAGATACAGTATTAAATTCTGGATTTTTCACATTCTGAAACATGAAATAACATGCAAAAATAGTTGTTGTTCCATACGAATAAAGATAGAATTTTTGAACTTAAAATTAAAATACCTTCTTAGAAATATTTTAATGGTTAATTAATTACAGTAAGTTATTCAGAATATTAAACTTGCAGTTAGCAGAATTCTGTGTTAGCTTGGACTTAAAACTGAGATTGAAATATCCCTTTGTTAAGAAAGAGATGTCCATCTTCTAAGTACGTAAGCTGTATATATATCTGATATCTGTTATTCATACTTTTTACATTTTTGTCACTAAGTCTTTCTTTTTTGTCCCCTCATGCTAAATAGAATGGTATGTACCAGTTGTTGATTCTCAAGATATTGAATTGTCAAATACTTGACTGTTATAAACCTTTTGAGAGAGAAAAAATAACAAAACTGCATTATAAATAATAGTAGATTTCAAATCATGGGGGACGCTAATTTTACCAGATGAATAGAAATGAAAGAGTAATGTTATTTTAATTAAATGGCAAGTTATTTGTAAGGCATTTATTGGGTGATTTAATACTAAACAGTTTTAAACTGTTTAATTAGAAGGTAAAACTTGCGGTGAAATTAAATCTTTCAAATTTCTCTGATTAAAAAAAGTGTACGTTTTACAGACTGTGGAACAAAGATTTGTTCAATTTTATATGCATTTCTAATGTAAATAAAGACTGTTAAGTTATCCCCCTAAACCTGCGTGATTCAGCGTGTGCCACCAGCATAGAGTCAGGTCAGATTTCATTTGTGCAGTTTGACCACACTCTATCCTGTTGGTAGCCTAATTTTTGTGTTTTGAACACTGAAATTCCTAAAACTTTAAATGGATCATTCAGATGTCAAAGTAGGAAAAATCTGTTTTACTTACTCAGCAGGTTAAGTGTTAATACACAACAATCAGATGATATGTGAAATAATTATTTTATTATGCATTTGGATTCCTTCTCTAAGCTTCATTACAGCAATTGTGATCTGAAAGGTCAAGGCCTAAAAGGATGACCTAGTTTTCATTGTGATGTCTTTAATATTTTTTTTTTGTATTATTCTATGTATTGCATATTATGTTTTGTATATGCTCAAGAGATTTTTGAAAGTGCGTAAACTCAAAGTTGTGAAAAATATTTGCCAAATGGATTATATATATATATACATGTATATACATGATATACAATATGTTTTAGTCATACTTTTAGTCATTGATTGTACTTTGTGAAATTAAGAATTGGCAGCTTTCTCCAGTTCTCTAGAAGTTACCATAAAGTCTCTCATTTATGTCCCAGTTGTGGCACTATTAAAAAGTTGGTTACTGTAAAATCTCTAATTGATGTTCCTGTTGAGATGGGGGAATTGATTATAGCTTAACAGTTGGTTACCGTAAAATCTCTACCCTATGTTCAGGTTTTGACTGGTTACCGTAAAATCTCTATTTAATGATCCAGTTGTATAATATCTTAGCAATTGAGTTCCGTAAAATCTCTAGTTTTGTTAATATACCTTAAAGTCTCATATAAGTGCCCTAGTTATTTCAAAGGTAGATAACCATAAAATCTCATTAGTGCACCTGTTTTATTTGTTATAAGAAATTACTGTAAAATCTCTGATAACAGTTGTTCCAATCACATATTGTTCATTTTTCTCAAATGATTTCCTATTTTATCAGAATTTGTTCAACGTATTATTTCAAATACTTTTTTTATTGGTCTAAGTAATTTTTATCCCTGTAAATTGTTTATTCTGACACTGACCAGAAAAATCTGAACATAAATCTACAGATTTATTTCTTAGGAATTCAGGCTGTATGCACAGATACAACTGTAGATTGTTTGTTTTTATGACTTTCTCTCATAAAATTGAATCTGATTTCACTCAGAATTTTCTAATCTCATATATATATATATATACAATTTCTTCATTTCAATAATTAATATGACAATTACTGTACTTATTTTTGTCTCCTACTTGGCAAATGAAAACATGTTTTGCTTTATTGGTTTTTATGAAGTAGGATAGTTGTGTTATTGCCCTTAAAGAATCTGTTTTTAGACAAGTGCGTTGAAATGATTTCTTCCTTGGTTTGTCCGCAAAGTGGGGCACTTGTTGTGTCCGTGAAGTTGGGTGCTTAATTTGTCCGCTAAGTTGGGCAGAAAAAGTGATTTCAAGTCTCAAGTAGATCATATATATCTTCTTTCAAACAATTCCTTTTTATTTGTCTTTGGAATCTTTTTTTTTTTTGCATGCATTTTAAGTTATTATTACTTAGTAATTTGTACAGAAGGTTCAGAGAACTGGGTAAAGCTGCCAATATGCCTCCTTTCTATTTATGATAATTATGGCCTCATTTTAGTTTTGTACAAATATGGACACATACTTTTGTATTTTGTCAAGAACTTACATAGTTAGATATTGTCTAGGGCAAGTCGCAGATGAAACTTTTGTTTTGTTATTTTTACACCATTGATTAGTTCAAATGTTTCAAATCAAAAACTGTTAAAAAACATCAATATTACAATTTTTTTCGCCTATTTAGTTAATTGAAATTAGATGTGAAATTAATTTGGACAACTGTGCTCTTCTGAGAAAAAATAACAAAACATTTTGGCCACCTTATTTTATGTTATTTTAGTATTATTTAGAAACTTGCTTTGAAAATTAATCGTTTAGCTTAAATTGTTTATGAAATGGCAAAATGTAAGGTTTTATATAGGTGTTTATGGTTAAAATTATGATATACAAGTTTTGATATTGTAATGGTGGGAATGGGAAAAAGTAGCCTTGGTTTTCTCCTTGCTAGGGCTTTAACTAAGTATTCTGAAGTTTAATAAATCATAAAATTTTTATTATTAAAATACTTCCTTTAAAGTAGAATCTTTGAACTGTTTTTCTCATACACTGATATTTGCATTTTGTGCGTGATGAATATGAGGGAGGGACTAGGGGGGAGGGGGGAATGGCAGGAAACTAAAAGATGCATAAAAGTGGTGAAGTTGACTGAGATTTTAGAGATTAGACAAAATGTAAAGAAAGATAAGATGATTGAACTTGTAGAGTGATTGCAGCGTTAGTAAATAGCTTATACCAGCCATTGTGAGCCAGGTCAGCCTGGGCATCCGTATAGTCAGACTGGACTCAGTACTGTCAGCTGCTCAATCTATAATTTTGTTAATGAAATCTTCTAAAAAAAACAACAAACAATGGGCTGTTCCAAAAGTAAAATAAGGACAAGTTTATTTTATGAAATCAGGGGGCGCAGGGGGTGGGAGGGGAGAGGGTAAGGATACTTTAATGTTGGAAATAAGGAATGAAATATGTGCTCCTAGTGATCTCAATCTGGAAGTGCTTATTATTTAAGTCTGTATATAAAATTAATATTGTTGTATCTGTAGAAATGCCTGTGATGTCATAATTATGTGTCTTTTCTTTATTTTTTCTCTCTTTTGTGTTATTATGTTTCTTTTCTTTTATTTCTCTCTTTTGTGTGAACATTTCTTTTTTTTAATGAAAGAAGGGAGGCAACTATACTGTAAATATTGAAAAAAAAAACAAACAAGAAATTTGATGAAACAGAGTGAATTGCCCTTGATTGTGAAATTGGATGGTTTTAGAATAGGAAGAAAATATAATTTTGAAAAAGAATTATGTCTACTGTAAATATATATTCTTGTATTTGTGAAAGTTAAAATTGCTTTAAAATTATTTTTGTACAACTTGGTGCAATATTTATTTGGACAAAATGGCAGAGCGCTGAAAAATGAGATCAGTTTAACTTTTGTGATATTTCTTTCCCCTTTTTACATATATTGTATAAATCATGCTTTTTCTGAGTTTTTCAAAGCAGCAGTTGACAAATTCAGTCACATGATGTACGAAAGGTCACATGTGTTCCAGAAATAATGCATTGCTATTTTTAACCTGATTTATATAGAATACATAATAGACCAATTTGTTAAAGGGACTCCACTGAGGTTTTTTGACATGACGGGACTGGAAATAGTTTTTTTGAGATTATTACTTTATTTGATGTAGATATATACTTAAAACTTATGTGCAAAATTTCAGATCATTTGGTCATTCTGTTTTTCCAAAATAATAATTATAATAGTGAAAAATGACCAAAAATTGAAAAGCGTTTCAACGCTTTTCACTCAAATCGGACAGAGAATAGCACAAACATACGATTTTTAATGTATTTCATGTATGTCTCTTAGTTATATTTCATTTATATTTCTTTTTTAATAGCTTGTGTTGATCTATGTGAAAAATTAAAATTTTATGTTTTCAGGGTTATTAACCTCAGTGGAGTTCCTTTAACATTTATTTGCTCTGACTGTCAGCCATTTTGTCTGAATATTTATTTCACCATACTGGATGAATGACTATTTTTGAATTTATGTTTTCTGATGTAGATGTTGATTAAGAGAAAATTATGTTAACTAAAAGTTTAATATATACATGTATACATGCTTTTTCACATAAAATGAATTATCTCCCCTGACCGCCATTTTGAAGGTTATTTTAAATATATTTTGTGCTCAATTAAGATGAGATAGTTCACAATTCTGTAAGGTTCAAGTAAGCCGATAATTATTGGAAACAAATTTGTTTGGGCTTTAATAATGATTTCTTGCGTACCTGTATATATAAAAGAATTTAGACTGTTCACTTAATCTGCTGTTTCTATTGCTTTTTTTCTTCTTCTTCATATTTTGTTAACATATCCAATAAAATATTGACCCCCAAAATGGCTGCTTCTTTTGGTAAGGGAGTTTAAGACTGACATTAAATATTGTATTTACGTTTTTTCTTTTCAGTGAAGTAAAAATTGCAATATGTTTTGCATGATGAATAAAACAAATGTGATCATTTTAAAATAAATCACTGAGAGACTTTCATCTGTCCGGGTAACAATAAGCCTTAGGACTGTTAGTATTATCAAGACAGCATAAGGAATATATACCAGTATTTCCCCATATATTGCAAATTTGGGCTTATTTCCCAGGAATGGGGATTCCCACCCTGGGAAATTCTAGCAACACTGCATAGCCTATGCAAGTAAGGAATAATTTTGCCTCTATATGATTTTGGCTGTAAGAAGTGTAGTAAAAGTGCTAAAAAATATTCACTTTATTCCATGTTACAAAAATATTATTTAAACAGGCCCTACTTTAGAAATCATCTGCAAAACACACTTTAACACTTCATGTGTTAGTTTGAAAATATTGAAATTTTAATTGAATAATTTCAAACAGAACAATTTTTCATTTCTGCTGATTTTTTTTTTCAACAGCAGGAAAGAAATTTGACACAAAATTGTTGAAGCCATGAAGGCAAGATCAAATTTATTATTATTTTTTATTGTTTCTTTATTCTGTTTTAATATATTTAAAAAAAAGGCAGTGTCTGTTTTTAGCTCACCTGTCACAAAGTGACAGGGTGAGCTTTTGTGATCGCTTTTCGTCCGGCGTCCTTCCGTCGTCCGTCCTTCGTCCGTCCGTAAACTTTTGCTTTAAATGACATCTCCTCATAAACCACTAAGCCAATTTCATCCAAACTTTACAGGAATGTTCCTTTGGTGGTCACCTTTAAAAATTGTTCAAAGAATTTAATTCCATGCAGAACTCTGGTTGCCATGGCAACCGAAAGAAAACACTTTAAATGTCTTCTTTTAAAGAACCCAAAGAGCTAGAGCTTAGATATTTGGCATGAAACATCTTCTAATGAGTGTCTACCAAGTTTGTTCAAATAAAAGCCCTGGGGTCAAAATTGGCCCCGCCCCAGGGGGTCATTGATTTTCTCTATATGCATATAGTAAAAACTTAAAAAATCTTCTTTTAAAGAACCCAAAGAGCTAGAGCTTTGATATTTGGCATGAAACATTTTCTAATGAGTGTCTACCAATTTTGTTCAAATAAAAGCCCTGGGGTCAAAATTGGCCCTGCACCAGGGGGGTCATTGATTTTCCCTATATGCATATAGTAAAAACTTAAAAAATCTTCTTTTAAAGAACTCAAAGAGCTAGAGCTAAGATATTTAGCATGAAGCATGTATGTTCTAATGGGTGTCTACTAAGTTTGTTCAAATAAAAGCCCTAGGGTCAAAATTGGCCCTGCCCCGAGGGTCATTGATTTTTCCTTTAATGTGTATAGCAAACAATTAAAAAAAAAACTCTTTGAAAAAATCCCAAATAGCTAGAGTTTAGATATTAAGCATGAAACATCTTCTAGTGAGTGTCTACAAAGTTTGTTC